TTCCTCCCACCTCTAAAACTGTAATTTCTTCTCATTGTCTTCTCTCTACTTTTTTTTTTCGGGGTTTGCGAGCTACAGTGCCTGGGGCATGCACTTTTGAGGATCCTTGGTTTCATTACCAGAAAAAAAAATTATTTATCGTTTACTTCGTTTCGTATGAATATAAAGGAGTAAATGCTTCAGATTTCAAATATGCACTTGTCATTTACAAGGCTGGGTTGGGGCAACCTTGAAATTATAAAGTAAAATACTACTGCGCAAAAATTACTGCATTTATTAATGTTAATCGCGAAAAAGTACAAATAATACCATACGGTAGTTCGTATGAATGGAAACTGGCATTTGCATTACTCCCATCTGTACGTTTCGTATGAATATGAAGGAGTAAATGCTTCAGATTTCAAATATGCACTTGTCATTTACAAGGCTGGGTTGGGGCAACCTTGAAATTATAAAGTAAAATACTACTGCGCAAAAATTACTGCATTTATTAATGTTAATCGCGAAAAAGTACAAATAATACCATACGGTAGTTCGTATGAATGGAAACTGGCATTTGCATTACTCCCATCTGTGCGTTTCGTATGAATATAAAGGAGTAAATGCTTCAGATTTCAAATATGCACTTGTCATTCACAAGGCTGGGTTGGGGCAACCTTGAAATTATAAAGCAAATAATTCTGCGCAAAAGCTACAGCATTTATTATATGTTAATCGCGAAAAATTAATATTAACAAAGTTCATTAAGTACAAATGATACCATGTTCGTATGAATAAAACATGGCATTTGCTTTTACTGGTACTTCCAATTTTGAAGCATTTACTCGCATCTGTATGAATGAAAATTAAGCAAACACGTTCGTGTAGGTTTTATATGAATTTATATCAGAATAAATACAAGATTTCTATTGTTTCAGCCACTGTGACCTTGACCCTTGACCTTTCGACCCCCAATGCGATAGGCCTATGACCAAGAACGATCCACAAACCAAATTTGAAGTTCACATGTAAAGTATTTCTCAAGTTATCGCGCTGACAAAATTTCTTTTGTTTTAGCCACTGTGACCTTGACCCTTGACCTTTTGGCCCCAAATGCAAAAAGCTTCTAAGGATTGCCAAGGACAATCTACAAACCAAATTTGAAGTTCATATGTAATGTATATCTCAAGTTATCACGCTGACAAAATTTCTGTTGTTTTAGCCACCGTGACCTTGACCCTTGACCTTTCGGCCCCAAATGCAATAGGCTTTTTAGGATTACCAAGAAAAATACACAAACCAAATTTGAAGTTCATATGTAATGTATTTCTCAAGTTATCGCGCTGACAAAATTTCTTTTGTTTTAGTCACTGTGACCTTGACCCTTGACCTTTCGGCCCCAAATGCAATAGGTTTTTTAGGATTACCAAGGACAATCCACAAACCAAATTTGAAGTTCACATGTAAAGTATATCTCAAGTTATCACGCTGACAAGATTTGTCCGGACACACACACACACACCCAGGTTTACGTTACATACCTTGTGTGGACATTCCTTTGTTTTCGTGTAGTTAAGAAAACTCGGTACAAAAAATAACTTTACTTAAACTGTGAAAACTCTTTCAACCCAATTTTTTTCTATGATTCCCTATAGTGTTTCTCTTCATTCTGCTACGGATAAACCTAACCCAAAAATGCCTCTAAACCTGTTTTCCAGAAAGGGCAAAACGTTATGTGGACACGGCTTAGTCCACATAACGTTAACACAACCTGCATTATGTGGACATCTTTTGTTCACAAGTCCACATAGGGAATGTAAGACAAACTCACACACCCACCCACCCACGGAAGGACAAGGCGGAAACAGTATGCCCCTTCGGCTTCGCCGCGGGGCATAAAAACGCCTGAAAGGGCACCCCCTAGCACGTCCAAGAAAGTTAGACTATTTTTAATTTAAAAACCATTCATCCAAATTTTACCAAACTAACCCTTAGATATTATATAGAAAAACATAATGACTTCGTGAGGTTTTAGGATCGTGACGTCTGCAAACTGGACATTGCTAACGCATTATTTAAGAAGTTACATAATTTCTCGAAAAAAACCAACATTATTCCCTCCTTTTCAGTCAGTAACACATTACTCCCCCAAGTCCCAACATCCATCTAATATAAATCCAACAGTACCCACTGCAAGGAATGGACGCAGGCGCGCCTCTACCGGGGGGAGGGGGGGGCCTAGGGGGGCTGTAGCCCCCCAAAATTTTGTCTAGTCCCCCCAAAATAAATTCCGTAAAAAAAAAATTGCATTAGCATAAAGAAGGATTGTGATGTACATGCGAACGGTCTCCCCCTAAAGAAGAAATAGCTGTGACAAGGGTACATTAGTTAATATAGCGTGAATGATTTTAGGATTTTATTGGCGCTCCCCATTGAAAATATGGCATGAACCCCCCCCCCCCCCCCACCCACCCACCTATTGATTTTCGGAGGCCTAAGTGTCTGGAAAAAATAACCGGTCAACATTTCAGCACGCCTCCCTGAAAAAGTTCTGGATCCACCGTGCTAGCCCCCCCCCCCCCCCCCCCCCAAAAAATATTGGTTCTAGAACCGCGCCTGAATGGACGTATATTCTGTGCACATTTTTATGTTTATATGCCTATATATGCCTATATATGCCTATATATATATATATATATATATATATATATATATATATATATATATATATATATATATATATCTCCAATGAAATCGTCTTCTATCACAATTCACAGTGCTCGATACATCTCTGTAGAGCTATAACATGCAATAAATTCAGAATATGAGTTAAGTAGCATCTTACCTTATGCTACTTGTATTCTATTTTTCGTCATTCTGCTGATGAGTGCCTTATGGTACGAAACAGTCTGTCCAGAAGAGAGATATGCCAAAGTTTGTTTAACTCATATTCTGAATTTATTGCATATATATATATATATATTGAACATATTAGAAGAGCACTTTCAAGAAATCCTTCATTGGGCCGCCCCTAATTCCCCTCCCTCTCCTTGTGATCCCCATAGTGTTTATAATACATGCACAATTAGGAAATGCCGCCATTGTAAGTATACAGGGTGAGTGAACAAAAGGGCAACAATTAGTCTTGCAACCGTTTGAACTTATCTTTACAGTGTATGGTAAACATAGTTAACCGATAGAAAAGTTGTGTTTTTACCAGCAAAAATGATGATTTTCCCTCGTTTGAATCAAGCTGCTCTAATGTACCGCCTCTTTACATATTTAGGCCACGCCCGCAAAAGGGTGAAAATAACACGTTAGAATGTTAGAATTTACAAAGTGAATGTAAAATACAGTTTTCTGAGTTTTCTTTTTTTGCACTCCCCTTTTTGAAAAATCAAGCTTCGCCCCCCAAATGGGCAAGATCCAAGATGCGTTCACCTCAAAAAATTATGTTCGCCCATTTCAATTGGACATGCCAATTTTCAGAATTTTACCACCAAACTGAATGACGTTTTCCATATTAGAACCAAACTGCTAATATATACCGCCTCTTTTACCATTTAGACCACGCCCACAAAATGGGTGGAAAATTAACAGGTGTTAGAATGCTAGAATGTCTTATTTCATGTTTAAGTTTATTTCAAAGCGTAAAAAAACAAGGAAATTTGATGTTAAATACAGTTTTCATGAGTTTGTATTGTTTGCACCCCCTTTTTTTGAAAAATCAAGCTCCGCCCCCCAAATGGGCAAGATCCAGGATGGGTCCCGATCTTAAAATGATTTTTAGCCCATTTTGACCACACATGCCAAATTTCATGCTTTTACCACAAAGTGCACGATTTTTCGCTTAGCAGCTCCACTATATAGTGAAGGGTCATCTACAAAGTTAAACGTAAGATACTTGAACAAGTTCAAGGAAATTCCCAAAATTATTGGTAAGAACACTTTTTGACGTAGACATAATTATATTTATAAACAACAATACTCTCTTATTTTGGGGTATTTCCTTAGTCAAAATGTCTGGTTGCTCAGTGGATATCTAATCAAATTGCTTAACTTGGCCTCAAAGATGGTATATTAACATTACTGAACTTTGCAATTCTTTAGTCCAAATCCGTACCAATCCATCCAACGTGACGACAACGGCAGCAGAACGTTCCTGAGAGTGGGGTGGGGCATTAATCTCTGTGGTTGGATTCAAAATGTTCAGGCAAAGTAGGGAAAGTGTCCCCCATGCCCCTGTTAACCCTACTCCGGTATCCGGCCATCTCTGATTGTCAGCCCAGGGTGAGTTCAATCGAGGCCCGCTGCTCGACAACTTTGATTCGTGCTTAACTAAAACCTTCACTAAAAGGATGGTCGAAACGGCATCAAGTATTTCATGGTACTGGCTCCTCACTGATGCATGCAGCTAATGTAACCAGCCATGTGACTGACCTCGGGCTGCCCTGATTAGTCTACAAGACTAGTCCAACAATACAGCGTGTGTCAATAAAAACGCAGGATTAGAAACAAAAATATTAAGAATATAAACCACCCCTATTCATCATAATGTTAACCCTCTTTTCAAAGTACCTTTCCTTCTCTTCACTGTGCTTTTTATCCCATCTCATTTGGACAATCCTGTCCAGAGATAGAGTACATTGAAGAAGGGTTATAAATTCCAAGCTGGTCTGATTTGTGAAATCACACATACCTAATGAAAGGTTTGAATTCAGTACAGGTGAAAGTATTTGTGGATCACAAAGAAGGACATGTGTGGCAGGATAAGGCTTACATAATCCTTTAGTCCACAATCAATGTTTTTTGATATGTCAGAGACGACATTCATGATGCTTTGAAACAATGATAGTCCAGGTATTAAATTTAAGTGATACTTATTATCAGTTGTTTCAAAGAATTTTTGTTCTGGTTTAATTGAATCAGACTAACCCGCTTCAGAAGGGCTTCACAAAACTTGTCATAACTTTTGAACCAAAAGTCCAAATTCCACCAAACAAAAATCTTGTCAAAGATGAAATTATGGACGATCAAATCCTTATCAAATTAGGCACACCAGTAGCATAATTTTCTCAGAAAAAAATCGCTTTGAATCCTGGGTTTTTATTGACACACGCTGTAGTTGACTAGTGTGGACTCCAGCAAAGAAAGTCAATCCATCGTTAACCAAAGTTCTTGCTCCAACTTGTTCCTAGATCACCCGTGGCCAATCATGTAACCAGGTTCATTTTCAATCGTACAGTTCCGAGTTCAATACCAAGTCCTCATTTCTCCAGCAAGAACATCCTGTAGAGTGACTCCTCCTTAGTGTTAGAGAACGACGGCAGGAAGTTCACCCTGACGACGGCATCAAAGCCTTCAGCAGGCGTTGGCTGCGTGTACTTTTTCTTGTAGGAGTGGAAGACCATCTCACTGATCTGGGCGTGGTTCTTGGCGGAGTCAGTCATCCGTCGAAACTGTTGATGACAAAGCCAACGAAGAGGTGAATACTCCATTTTTTACATTATTTCCTTCTCCCCAAGGTTGTGGTCATGTTCTCATAAATCCTCACAATCAGAGGTCCATCAGTTGGAAGTCAACAAGCAGGTTATTCAAATGAATTGGGACAAATGCCGTTTTTTGGTAATTGTACATTTCTTGTTACCTGTGACCTTACTCATGATCTTCAGTGTTGTCTTGTGATGGACTTGTCTACAAATGTGATGCGATCAAGCTACATGAGTCGTTTGTCGATCCTGGTCAATTTGTATTTTTCTTACAGATTTGAAAAGAGCAAAATCTCAGCATAAGTGCTAAGAAAACCGCATGCTGATACCATCTTTAGTTCAAAAATTATGGAAGACGGAACACCAAGAGATGTCATGAAGTGATGTGATGAAGTGCTCTTATTTTGGCCTGTATCTCCAAATAAAAATTCCCAACAAATGACTCATTTAGCTTGATCGTATCACAAATATGTAGGGCCAACTCCTTAAAGTGAAGTTCCAGGCTTTTGTCTAAAGAAGATACAGGACATCCTTATGCACTTTATTTTTGCTTGAAGGAATGCAATCCTTCGCATCAAATTTGCACTAAAAAAAAAAAATTTTAAGCCAAAATTTAAACAAACAATCGAGATATTGAATGCGATGCCAGAAAAAGAAGGTTAGCATTACAATCCAACAGGTCACAATTGAGAAAATGAAGAGTGATCTTTTAGACGTGTCGGAATGCATAATGCCCATATCTGTTGTTACATTGCTAATATCTCATTACTATTAGGCGAAGTAAAAAAAAAACATGTTTCTCGTCCCCGCCCGCTTCCTTTTGGAGGCCGCCTGGATTTTTAAATTATTTTTTATTTTTAAAAAATGCAGTAAAAAAACACCGAAAAAGTCCACAAATTTATCGGAAAATAAATACTTGCGAAATATGTTCATTGTAGACCAATACAACTCTAAATGACACTGTAAATATGTTCAGTTCTCTTGTCCCACTTGTCTTTCATTTTAAAAGTGTCTTTGAACAGTGGAAGCACCAACAGTTGCAGGAAATTTTAAAATGGCGGCCATCTTGAAAAAAATTAAAAATAACTAGATGTGGTTGTAACTGAACAACCACAGAGCTGTTCCCAACTTGTTTTTGATTGTCTATTGGATAGTAGAAAATAATGTAATGATTTTTGCAAAAATCTCTAACTTTTAAAATTGAAATTATTATCTTACATAATTGCACTTCCGGTAAAAACCGGAAGTAAAGGTCACGAGACCTTGACATATACATTTTCATTTATAACCCTTCCCTGTCTATATATTTACCAAGTTTGAGATCAATCGGTCGAATAGTTTTATAGTTAAAGGACTATAAAGATTGCCTCATTAAATAGTCATGACGTCATAACATGAAAACATTAAACTGCCCATTAATAATAATGCTACATATTTATCCTTTAATGTTGCTTAATACTAATACATGTATAAGGTGTCAACCCAATTAAATTTCTAATTCATTAGATATGATAATTAGGGTCTTAAATTAACACTTCCGGTAACACCGGAAGTAGTGGTCACATGACCCGGATATACCAATATTTATCTGTAACACTTCCCAGTCTGTATACCTGCCAGGTTTGAGATCAATCGGTCAAATGGTTCTATAGTTATAGGACTGTAAAGATTGCCTCATTAAATATTCATGACGTCATAACATGACAATAATTATGTGCACAGTATAAATGATAATGCAATATAATTATCTGTCAATATAGCTTTGTATCAATGTGAAGTTTCAACCCAATCAGATTAATAATTCATGAGATATGATATAGGGGTCTAAAATAACCACTTCCGGTAAAACCGGAAGTGAAGGTAACGTGACCTTGACATATGAATTCTCATTTATAACACTTCCCTGTCTGTATACCTACCAAATTTGAGATCAATTGGTCAAATAGTTCTATAGTTATAAGGCTGTAAAAATTGAATCTATAAATAGATGTCACGTGGCCCCTGATGACGTCACGATGACGATAAGTTTCGGCATACATCTTCAGATGATGGTTAATGACTATGCTGAGTTTAAAGTTGATCAGATTTAAAATAGTTCCCAAAGTGGCTTGTAGAATAAAAACGTGTGATATATATTTGAAAATGCATGTGTCAAACTTCCCCTAAAGCAGAACAAAAATCACTGAGACAAGTCTACTGATAGGCGAATGGGGGCGCCATTCAGTTTATACGGTGTGCCGTTATATTTTTTTGGTGACGCGCAGCTTTCCTTATTTTGATCCCATGAAACTTAAGCTCTGTGCCTTAAGTACAACCGTAAAAGTTATGTGCTGCCCTCTTTTGGCGAGAATGAAGGGACGTAATGTACATTGAACGACGTTTCAAAGCCACGTGTACGTGCTATACACATTGTGGAAGTCCTGCGCATGTTTTAAAGCTCTCTACCGCAACTTGGGCGAGGGTATTTTTTGCCGACGTCGCGTCAACTGTGTGAACAATTTGACAAACTGGGAACTTGGCACTGTTGAGGCAAATGTTGATGCTATCATTTAATGGGCGATTCAAGATTATATCTGTACGGATTGATTTTTCAGGAATTTTCTAAGGAAAAAGAGTCTTTTCATTATAACTTCCGGTCTGATGACGTCATACGCCTAAAACTTTGCACACGTCTTAAGTGGGTCAAGGTCATCATATACACCAATATTTAGGCGATTCCAACAAACTTCGCCACAGACATCTATTCAAAATACATTTTTGAAAATTTTCAACCTGTCGCTAGAGGGCGCTCGAAGATTGCATGACGTCATTGGTAGATGATTTGAAGAATACTATCAGCCAAGAGACTAACACCGTTAAAAGCAAGTTCATATCTATTACCACTTTTAAATAATAAGCCACTTCCGGTTTTGGCCTTTTTCGACCGGAAGGAAGGGTCACGTGATTTTACGCACACTGAATGAAATAAAGACCTCAACCTACTCTACCACTTGCCGGCAACAGAATGCTGCGGACGCGTACGGTTGATTTCTTATGCATTTTTAAATATTAAAAGTGTCACAATTTAATTGCCTATAAATAAACACCGGATGACGTCATCATGACGTCATCATTACACAATGTTGTTTAAATTAGGGTCATTGCTTGGACAAAGATTGGTGTAAATGAATTACTGGCAAAGTGTCGAAAATGCCCTCTGAAAATTGACATTTCTTTTTAAATTTCTGTGTACAAAGTCTATGGGAAAAATTAAATATTCAAAATTCTATAATAAATCACGTGATGACGTCAGCATGACGAAAAGTTTCAGCACACATCTTCAGATGGTGGTCTAAGCGTGTGCCAGGTTTGAAGTCGATCGGATTTGAAAAAAAGCCAAAAGTGACTTGTAGAACGAAAACACGTGTTATCCTATGAGAAAAAAGTCTGAAAAATAAAAGAGAAAAAAAAAAATAACAGAAACAAGAGCTGTTTCGGTGTGTACACCGAAACAGCTAAAAAAAAAACTAGAACTATGTGGTTGTGAGTGAACAACCACAGAGCTGTTCCCAACATGTTTTTGATTGTCTATTGCACAGTACAAAATGATTCAATGATTTGTTCGTAACAAATTTTACTATTAAATTGAAATTATAATATGAATCGGTGATGGTCTTGTTCGGGACACATTTTCCGAAGAGAAGCTGGTTGGGTTCTGAAAACATAAAATTAAAAATATATTTTTGGGAACAGGTCTGTTTGTACGAGATATAGACATATAAGTAGAGATCTATGTCTGTTTGCAACAGAAGATGCGGCTTTTCCGCATTATGATTTGTTTTTATCAATAATACGTGCCTGACTATGCATGAACATAAAATCTGTCAAAGCTAGCCGAAAATCGGCTAAAACGGTCACTGTGGACAGGATTTGACCTCAGCAACACGTGCGCTGCGCGCGGGCTGACTGACATACGATATGAACAACGTACGTGCATGTACATGTACATGCACATTGTGGACGTCCTGTGCATGTTTTAAAGCAGAGGTATTGTCAACCTGCAGTTTTAAGCGTGCACAGGGCATGTCCGAGTTTGCTTATTGCCTCGAAGCTTTGAACTGTTTTAGACCTACCCTTCAATAGACAATTAAAGTAAAAACTAATATAAAAACTGTCATGGTTGATTTTTCAGGAATTTTCTTTAAAAAAAAGGGTCTTTTCATTATAACTTCCGGTCTGATGACGTCATACACCTAAAACTTCGCACACGTCTTAAGTGGGTCAAGGTCATCATATACACCAATATTCAGGCAATTCCGACAAACTTCGCCACAGACATCTATTCAAAATACATTTTTGAAAATTTTCAACCTGTCGCTAGAGGGCGCTCGAAGATTGCATGACGTCAACGGTAAATGATTTGAAGAATACTTTTAGCCAAGAGACTAACACCGTTAAAAGCAAGTTCATATCTATTACCACTTTTAAATAATAAGCCACTTCCGGTTTTGGCCTTTTTCGACCGGAAGCAAGGGTCACGTGATTTCACGCACACTGAATGAAATAAAGACCTCAACCTACTCTACCACTTGCCGGCAACAAAATGCTGCGGACGCGTACGGTTGATTTCTTATGCATTTTTAAATATTAAAAGTATCACAATTTAATTGCCTACAAATAAACACCGGATGACGTCATCATGACGTCATCATTACACAATGTTGTTTGAATTAGGGTCTTTGCTTGGACAAAAATTGGTGTAAATGAATTACTGGCAAAGAGTCGAAAATGCCCTCTGAAAATTGACATTTTAAAAAAAAATTCTGTGTACAAAGTCTATGGGGAAAATTAAATATTCAAAATTCTATAATAAATCAGGTGATGACGTCAGCATGACGAAAAGTTTCGGCACACATCTTCAGATGATGCTTAATAACTATGCTGAGTTTAAAGTTGATCGGATTTAAAATAATTGCCAAAGTGGCTTGTAGAATAAAAACGTGTACAAAACCTATGGGAAAAGCGGAAAAAGAAAAAAAAAAAAAAACTAGAAATGTGTTTGTGGACAAACACTGAGCTGTTTCGACCGTTTTATTAATGACTGCCGTAAAAGGAGTTTCATCCAGGTCGAATGAACATGTACATGCGTATTCTATACAAAAAGTGTCTATCCTACGTCCCTGACTATGCATGAAAAAGTTAGCCGGAAATCGGCTGAAACGGTCACTGTGGACAGGATTTGACCTCAGCAACACGTGCGCTGCGCGCAGGCTGACTGACATACGATATGTACAACGTACGTGCATGTACATGTACATTGTGGACTGTGCATGTTTTAAAGCAGAGTTATTGTCAACCTGAAGTTTTAAGCGTGCGCAGGGCATGTCCGAGTTTGCTTATTGCCTCGAAGCTTTGAAATATTTTAGACCTACCCTTAAATAGACAATTATAGTAAAAACTAATATAAAAACTGCCATGGTTGATTTTTCAGGAATTTTTTAAGGAAAAAGGGTTTTTTCATTATAACTTCCGGTCTGATGACGTCATACACCTTAAACTTCGCACACATCTTAAATGGGTCAAGGTCATCATATACACCAATATTTAGGCGATTCCGACAAACTTCGCCACAGACATCTATTCAAAATACATTTTTGAAAATTTTCAACCTGTCGCTAGAGGGCGCTCGAAGATTGCATGACGTCATCGGTAGATGATTTGAAGAATACTATTAGCCAAGAGACTAACACAGTTAAAAGCAAGTTCATATCTATTACCACTTTTAAATAATAAGCCACTTCCGGTTTTGGCCTTTTTCGACCGGAAGCAAGGGTCACGTGACTTTACGCACACTGAATGAAATAAAGACCTCAACCTACTCTACCACTTGCTGGCAACAGAATGCTGCGGACGCGTACGGTTGATTTCTTATGCATTCTTAAATATTAAAATTGTCACAATTTAATTGCCTATAAATACACACCGGATGACGTCATCATGATGTCATCATTACACAATGTTGTTTGAATTAGAGTCTTTGCTTGGACAAAGATTGGTGTAAATGAATTACTGGCAAAGAGTCGAAAATGCCCTCTGAAAATTGACATTTTTTTTTAAATTTCTGTGTACAAAGTCTATGGGAAAAATTAAATATTCAAAATTCTATAATAAATCACGTGATGACGTCAGCATGACGAAAAGTTTCGGGACACATCTTCAGATGGTGGTCTAAGTGTGTGCCAGGTTTGAAGTCGATCGGATTTGAAAAAAAGCCAAAAGTGACTTGTAGAACGAAAACACGTGTTATCCTATGAGAAAAAAGTCTGAAAAATAAAAGAGAAAAAAAAAAATAACAGAAACAAGAGCTGTTTCGGTGTGTACACCGAAACAGCTAAAAAAAAAAAAAAAAAAAAAGGAAAAAAAAACACTTTAACGAAAACAAGAGCTGTTCCCAATTGAAATTGGGAACAGCTAAAAAAAAGGAAAAAAAAAACTTTAACGAAAACAAGAGCTGTTCCCAATTGAAATTGGGAACAGCTAAAAAGCCCGATTCCTCCTTTTTTAAAAACCCGGACGAGAAACATGTTTTTTTTTTTTATTCGACATTACTTCAGTTAACACTACATTAACCATGTCATGTTATACATTAAGACCTAAGCTTGAGTTGTACCAACGTTGTTTCAAATTGATCATTGCGCTCTAACCTTTTCATTGTGACGGGCATGGTCAAGGCTGACATTGAGGACAAAGCATCTGCAGTGAACATTGGCCTTCTTAGCACAAGCGGTGTACCTGACAAAAAATTGAATAAACCAAAATTGATATCTGACTGAGTTCAGCAATGCATGACTTGTACGATGTATGTGGAATTATGCATCTAAGAGATTTAAATTAAATTTTGAATACTGCCCCTCACTACCTCAGCACTTGCAAGTAAAACTTCACAAGCCTTGTTGTCCGTTGGGATACAAACCCCTGACCAACTGCTTACTAGGGCAGACTCCCTAACCACACCAACTCCAAGCTTACCAGAGTTGGTCGGTTGGTTTGAACCGGAGAAAAGCAGGCAGGCCATCACGATCAATGACTGGTTTGATTGACTTTTGAGTTTGGGAAACCACATTCTTATACTAAATTTAACCCTCCTTTAACAATTTTTTTACTTGTAACTAAGTGATGTCCAAGAGCCTGTAAGAAAGAAAAATTCTTCAAAGTCTGCTATAGAAAGCAAAAAAGGTTGCAGCTTGGAGTTCAATCCTACCAATCTTGTGTGTTGTTTCTGACACATGCTCATCTATCGTCACTGAGATTATAAAAGGTTGGTTAGCGGAAAACACAATGTCAAAATTGAGAGAATCACTTTCTCCAGTATACAACCTAGAGTGCCCACCTCTGTCTTGACTCAGGATCAGGGTTAGTGTTATCCACAACCACACTAGCACCCACCTGTGTCTAGACTCAGCATCAGGGTTAGTGTTATCCACAACCACACACTTTGACCTTAAAGTACCCACCTCTGTCTTGACTCAGCATCAGGGTTAGTGTTATCCACGACCACACTTTGACCTTAAAGCACCCACCTCTGTCTTGACTCGGGATCAGGGTTAGTGTTATCCACGACCACCCTCTAACATTGAAGTACCCACCTCTGTCTTGACTCAGGATCAGGGTTAGTGTTATCCACGACCACACTTTGACCTTAAAGTACCCACCTCTGTCTTGACTCAGGATCAGGGTTAGTGTTATCCACGACCACACTCTGACCTTTGACCAGGGCAGACTCAGTAGCAGCCACACACTTCTGCCAGGTTCCCATGGCATCCTGTAAACACAACAGATGGACTCAACTGAAATGACAGAATATATGGGTAAGACTATTTGCACCACTCTATCTTTACAAGCTGTAATAGGTTGTACGTTGCTGTTAATATTGAGCACATCCATCAGGTACAAGACACGCAATACGGAAGTGCTCTAGAGGCAAACAAGTCTATTCTGAGAAACAAGAAAAGAGATAAAATGTGAGAAAGTAGGAACTATGAGAAACAAGACAGTGGTACGAGTATTTTTTCTCTAAATTGGAAGCCATCTTGAGTATTTTGACAAAGGTATTCTGAAAATGCGCAAATATTTGCGAGTTTGAGTTCATGTCATTTTGCAATATTTTCATACCTCTTGCAAAAATTCGCTGATTATGGCAGGGGCGAAAAACCCGTGAAAACCCTTTTGGGAGAAAAAAATTGGAAAATTCCCATCCGGCTCATTATTATTATGGCAACCAAGTTTATTAACTCTGTAAGTCAGCACATATTTATAATTGTGTTATCAGTAAAGGCAGCGACGACAAGAAATGCTCACATCAATGTTGAAATATTAACTGACCAATGTTTTACGTTGTTCAGATTTGAATGAGGTTAGGGAAATGAGGTTAGAGAAGTCATGTTCTTCAACTGTCTATGGCACTGCAACAGACTGAAGCCTGTTCTCGTAAATCACGAGCTTCTATTCTACACCACTTTTCTGCAGATGTTGAACTCACCCTGTTGATGTGCACGTACTTGTGTGGCAGCAAATGTTTCTTGACAAAGCTGCTCTTGCCAGCTGAAAGGAATAAAGGGATCGGCATGAGAGCATTAAAATGTAGCAAGTTTCTCTTGGAAGCATGACATATTTTCCAAAGTTGGGACATTCCATGCTAAAAGAGGTACTTGCTCCTTGGACAGTTACATGTAGCCAACAGTTACAAAACATGTTCAAACTCCAAAACCAAAGAATAAAGAATCCTAGCAATAAAGCAATATCAAAACGCACTTCAGCACCCCATCTGAAAATCCTGGATCAATAGAAAGCAACTTATAATTAACGGACAGATACTTACATGCAGGAAATCCTACCAGAATGATGACCTAAAGAAAACAAATAAATATATTGTGTCAGTTCTGTGGTATTTGATTTAACAATTATGACTCTAAAGGGCGTATAAAAAAAAAAGGAAACCCAAATGTAAATTTAAATTACAAAAAATCTAATAATAGGAAAGGTGGCATTTTCAAAGTGCATAGCAAGCAGTAAGCTTTCATAGGTGTCGAAGGTGTTGGCTGTTTATGATACGGCGTCTCCAGTCTTAGTTTAGTGTTGTTTGGTTGTCTGGTACCTCACCTCCTGAGGATGCCCTTGTGCAGGAATCTGTGCCTGAGGTGGAGACAGCAAAGGACCAGCAGATGATAACTTCCTCTGTGAACAAGAAAATGGAAATGTTTTACTCATAAGGCCTTCAAAAAAAAATAAAGGATGATACAGATAAAAACAATTTTTTTTCCAGAAATGGCATAAAAAAGTTGAACAGTATAACTTTTTTTTTAAAAGTTGATGAAGGAAATTGACTGGAGTTTGAACCTGCGACCTCCGGATTGCTATTCCAGTGCTCTACCAACTGAGCTATCCAGCCCTATGTTGGCAGTTCCCTATTTTGTCAGTGTCTTTGCTCAAGGGGCGCTGTTCATACCATGCAGCCATGCAGGGATCGCATCCAAAGTCCTAACGCTCGAAACATTAGCAATGCTGCAAACCTGAGAAATAGCAGGTGTCGCACGGAGAGGACACAGCTTTTTTGGGTAATACACTCACAGGGTCAAATTCTGGAAGACTAAAACGATTCTTCTTCTGGCCCAGGAAGAACTCCTCCGGAGTGTGGAAAGACACGCCAACATTCAGAGCAAACTGGAAAAAAAAAACAGATCAAGACTTGGAATAATGTGAATCATGAATGAAATAAGCAAAATCCTTGTTATCACAATGCATTTTCTTCACTAAAGTCACCAGTGTTTAAGCCAAACGGTTCCTTCAACTTTGGGGTTATTTGTTAGGCACTTTGAAATCGTTGCCTTGGTAAATTGGAGTTAAGTTATTCATGAATGCAGTTATGGGTTTTTCCGTGTAAAAGAGAACATTATGGAAAAGGTCCTAGGCTAGACCTTTGATTTCTGAAACTGACAGGCACAGGTCATTCGAATGTTTCAAGACACATTTTGTTGCTACAGACATCAATCTAAGGACCTATCCGCTCCGTTCACAAGTACCCCCTCACCGGCAAAGAGAGTACAGTTGGGGGTGACCGACCGATGCCATCTTGCCTGACTGCAATTCATTTGCTGCAAAGCGCGGCCACTGCGTGTACATAGTACAAATCCCCTGGAGTACGTGTGTCACACACAAGGAACAGTGCACGTCAATCAGTGAAATGTCCCGCCCATGGGACGTCGTTGCTAGGTAAAAGGGCGCCCTCTTTTTTCGGCACACCGAGCCCATCTTATTACTCACCAATCTGTCGCTGCAAGAGAAATCTTTTTTCTTTCCTGGGCCCCAGTCAGCTGGCCGACCTGCGGCATCTAACACAGCAATAACACAATACAATATCAATTGCACATACGCAAGACATGGGTGACTCCAAGCTGGAATCAAATAGAATTGATGCAATAACCAGAACAGAAATCCTGACTCCACCTTTTATCAGGCATGCAACTGGGAATTTAGAAGAAGAAAAACGAGAAAATTAAAACCCCACCAGACTCTGTACAGTATTTTTCAATTTGTACATGTAATGGCGTTCATGAGAAGTAAAATACGAGGAAATCAGCGGATCCGAGGAAAAGTTGCATGCCTGTTTTATCTTTTGAGGATATGAGGCCCTACAGTAGCCAATGCATGTCTTTGGGGTCAATCAATTTACCAGTCATTTAAAAAAACTAAATAGACGTTGCAAATGATCATCATTCAATGAGGGGTTTAACCACAATGTGATCGGGGGGGGGGGGGGGGGGGGGGGGGGGGGGACAGAGTAAATTCCAAACAGATTTGCCACTCCTTGATGGAACTGGCCTCATCCAAGCCCAACACTAATACTAGCAAGGTTTAGAAGAAAGTGTTGTTGAGAGGTACAGAATCAAATAGTACTTCTTGACAAATGTAACAAGCTGGTCCTAATACAAATATCAACACAGTCAGGAGAAACTTGTGCTTACAAAAATATAATCAACCCCAACTACAGGAACCAAAAAAATGTTGAAATAAACGTTTGATTTTAGGAGGATCGACATCTTCAGAGCCTAATTTACCTCCGATGTATTTAGAAGATGTTGTGTGGACTTGAATCCCATCGTTGCCATGGTTACATAGATGGGTCCACATGCCAGTCTGTGGTTTTCGATAAACTCCTTCTCCTGTTGCTATCAAAGCCTGAGAAAAAATATATTAAAATTAGACAACTTTCTCGTCAAATTTCACCAACAAGGCATAAATAAGGAATGGGCCCTACTGTGTTGAACTGTGCAGGGCAGTTTGTGTGGGCTAAAACTCAAGGTAAATGCCTGATTTATGCACAGTTTTCAACTGTTAACCCTAACCCCTTGGCCTCTTGTACTTGAAAGTATCCTGAATCCGCCAAAATCCATCAATTTTGCCACGTAAAAAATGTTGGTGGCCAGTGAGTCCATCAGAATCCACCAGTTAGGCAGGAGTAAATCTGTTGAGATTCTGAATCCGCAAAAGTCCCCCAACAGCTCAATATAGAGGTATCCTGAATCCATCAAAATCCTGCAGTTCCGCTAGGCTTACAATCCTGAATCCATCAAAATCCCCCAGTTTGTGCAATATGGAGGTATCCTGAATCCGCTAAAATCCTCCAAAACAGGGGTGTGGATTTTGATGGATTCAGGTACGTTAGGGTTAATATTTAAAGAAAAATTTGTAGCACACACTATTATGTGTTGTAAATTTGGCTACAAAACAAGAGTAAAATATCTGTGAACAAGTATAGCCCCCTCAATAAAAAGAAAGGGATACATCATTGCTAGGCACTTAATGAAGACCATTAGCATCATGTGCCCATCTTCGGGTGTGGCCCCCTTCAAAGAAACTTGCTCTTGCGTGGATGGAAATTTGTCATCCTAATCACAAAGCACCATCCACAAGTACTGCTCCTTCACAGTGTTCATAAAGATTGGCTCCTGATCTCGCCATGCAAGGAATTTGTGCATGGAATCAAAAACCCAACACCAGTTGACCGTGAGCTACATTGCAAAATTGGGTGCTAATTTGAGACACGATCACTCAACTCGGCAAGGCAAGAAAAGTGTACAGATTTACACTCCAGAGAAAAAACAGGACATGATTCATTAATACTTCACTTATACATTGGTCTTGATATCAAGTTAATGTTACCGGCTGCGCTGTAAAGATAAGTCATATCCACCTATAAATGTTCCACTACTCACAACCCATGTTCGCTGCGCCAATCACGGCGTTTCATGTTCCATCATCACCAACAGAGGCTAGGCTTTGCAAACAGGTTTTGAAATGACGCTATCCGGCCTTTTCGTCAATGATTCATAATAATACAGTTCTTGAGAATATCATCTAAATGTGTGTACATGATGTGGGGCATCACCACCAAGCTTTGATGAGGCCGTTTTTCAAGATGGATTTTCACAAATGCTGTTGTGTGCGTGCGTCAGTTATCGACCGCATGGTTCTCGGACTTCCCTTTTGAACATATCTGCCAGTGCCAGTGCCATGGATCAGAGAGAAAAGTGAAATCTGCTTCAATATAAAGTAGGATTTGATTTAAAATAATGAAAGAAAGAAAACATATATATTTGAAACTACAGAAAAAAAATTCTTGCCAAGAATCAAACCTCACACCATTGGAACACGAAAACACGGAATTATCTTACTGAGCTACTTATCGCTTCAATCTTTGAGGGAATTTAAAAACTCATATACATCGTGGACATGGATTTACACCACTGAATGGTACCCACGCCCAATCTACCGAAACTGGTGACAGCAGATCTCTTTTACAATATATTGTGAAAGAGATGCAATGCCCCCTTCAATTGTAGAATGCTATGGTCCAGTGGTTACGGTGTTTGACTCATGTACGAAACTGTGTGGGTTCAAACCCTGCCAGGAACCTGGCGTTTGTGCCCTTGGGCAAGACACTTAACTACAATTGCCTCTCTCCACCCAGGAGTATAAATGGGTACCTGTGAGGGTCGAGGACCGATTAAGCGCTGATATCGGCTGCCGCGTGGTCCCATGGCCTGATGAAAGGGGTAATAATTGTAAAGCGCTTTGAGATTGTTGATATGATGGAAAGCGCTATATAAGCGCAATTATTATTATTATTCAATTGAGAAACCATTGTGCACGCTATTGTAGTGACAGATTATCTGAACAATAGCTATCACGACACTTTCGCCATTGCGGGGGGCCTCCGTGATAGAAGTGAAGGCATGCCTGGCTTGGTCTAGAGACAAATGGGGATTTTTTATGTAACAAAACTCTACCACAGTGGCAAGCAACGTCTACCTCTACAACACATTTGTGGTGTAGTGATTATCCAATGTCAGTGCATATATCCCATGAGTATGTACCAGTCAAACAAACTCTATCCAATCGAGAGCTCCAAGAGGTATAAGCCAATCACAAGCACACTTAGAGAGGCTGGTGGGTACGATTTCAAACTTGAAAGCCAATGGTTTTTTCCTGTCAGTTGAAACTGAAAGGAAAAAGAATTAGTTGGAAAACTTGCATTAAAGGTACAGTCCATCATTTGTAATTTGTGCATTTTGTTCGTTTGAAGCAACAAAAGTGCTCAAAATCTAAAGAAAGGTGCTGAACAACTAACCTGATGAACTTTCAGCTCAGCTTCAGCTGTACATTCCGAGAAAAACAGCATTCTATGATCTCAATTTCAAATCAAAAGTTGCTGAATCATGTTTTGAATAGGGCCTGAATTCAGCGTCTGAGACACGTTCTCGCTGAGCCGATTGCAGCTACGCAATGTTGCGCACTGATCCGATGAATTATAGCGAGCGTGTGCGTCGTATCAATGCTTGCGCACGCAACGAACTACTAACGGAAATTCTTTAGACGCACCGTTGGAAAGGCCTTTTTTCGTTGATTTCTTCAAAATGACAGCTTGCCAGAAAGAATAATTTCACAGGGAGTTTAGTTCCCATACTATCGTTCAACCAAGTATATTTTCAACACTTATTATGTCAGTTACTGTTTGGATAGCTGCAAATGATGGACTGTAGCTTTAAAGTTACCAAAACAAAGCAAGGCAAACTACCAGGTGCTAGGGAGTCTTCTGAGGAGTATGCATACCTGCATGGGAATTCCTATCTTGCTTTGGACTCCAAGAACCTTCCGTTTAAAGTCAGCCAATTTCAGCTTGCCCTTACCGATGCCGAGCTGTGGAAAGAAAGCAGGGAAAAGGCTTGCAGAGTACGTTGCTTCTTTAAGTGTAAAGTCAAGACTTCAAGAAAGAGGACAAGACATCTTGCAGTGGAAAGATGCAATGGAAATATCTGTCAACAAATATTACTATAGTAAATGAATACTCTGTACGTGTTGTCAGACAGCTTCTTCTTTTAAGCAATATTCTAAGTTAAAGAATTGAAAGTTTAAGTAACACACCAAAATAATAACGGAAGAGTAGATCCAAATGATTTGAATGACTTACCTGATTTGTAAACAGCACAACCTGAAAGGAAACAATAAACATGTATAAAAGGTCACATTTTATTAGTTAAGGTAAGATAGTTGTTTTTTCTCACAAAGCTCTCCATGAAAGGTGACAAAAAAATTATTAACAACATTGTTTTCAAATGAACTGTAAACAATAAATTAACAATAAGTTTGAAACTCCTACAAACAGATATTATTGATGTACCCTAAAGTGGCGCGGCCCTCAACGTGGCCCACTTTGATTTTTCGCCTGTAGCGCCTAGTTAGAGCAAAAGTTTTAAACTGAAATTTCACAAAAAGAGAAATTTCGTCAAGTTCTAAACACTTCCGATGTTAAATCACGAGTTTATCTTCCCGTTACAAAGTTAGAAGAAAATTTTTTTTCGGCGTGATTTTCCGATTTTATTTCGAAGTGCCAGTGAACCCTTTGAAAATGGCCCCCCAAAATAGAAACTAATTTGCTGACAAACTTCTTGTTGGGTATGTAAGTAGAGATAATAACTGTTAATCAGAATTTATCAACTTTCTTTAATGTTAACATTCTTTAATGTTAATTTGGAATTTTCCAAGATTTATTGAAGTGCGCCACGTTGTGGAACACTCAGCCGATCTGTGCCCAATTTCCGGACACCACCATTTTTGAATTTCGGATTAAATTTCATGAAACCGAAATTGTTCACAGAGGTTAAATAGCAAGCATTAATAAGGTAAATGTACCAGCATTTCACTGAATGAATTTGGAGTTTTGCAACAAAAAAAGTTTGGCAACACTGCATGTGGAAAGTAGGGGCAATATCGAGGTGCGCCACGTTAGGGAACACCACTATATTGGGTGTCACTTTGCTAATTGGATGTCAGTTATCTATTTTCACAATGTGTGCAAAATTGCATCTTCATTGTTACCCCTGGGAGGTGCACTTGCAAATCGGACATGAAATTATCAACTGAAAACATAATATTTGAATTCACCTTGTATCCATCAGAATGCAGTTTCTTTAATGTCCTCGGCACCTCAGAATACACAATTCTAGAACAAGAAAAATAGAGCATTCATTCATCCACTCATTACTTGAGATTTGAATTGTTTTCACTTAAGTACTCCGTAAAGAACTTGCACTCAGAGGTCCAGTTACTCAAACTTGTAATCAGAGGTCCAAGTACTCAGACTCAGCTTCACAAAACTTGTACCCGAAGGTCCAAGTACCTCGACTCAGGTACCGGTACGTGTACTCGTTCCAAAGGTCAAAGTACTCGTGGTTACTCGATAGTCTGGTACTCCGCAACACTTTGTACTCGGATAAAAGTACTTGATTATAGCACTGGTTGTTTGTGGCAAAGGCCTTCATTTGTACATAATATTTAACTCTTTCAGTGCCAAAGTCGTACATGTACGAGGTATATTTGTTAGTTAAAAAATGCCAACCTCATACATGTACGAGGTAATGTTCGTACTTAAATCGCCAAACCTCGTACATGTACGAGGTAGAGTAAGCATGTTATCACAAGGGGCGCTCTCGCTCTAATAATATCATTTTCATTCAGGTACGACCTGTATTTATTTGTTTCATTCGAGTTCTTGCGATAGGGCGCAGCACTGACACTCGTATTTTCTGCAAAAAGTGCGGAATTCCCCTGTGTGCAGGACAGTGTTTCAGGGTGTATCACTATGTTCGTGACTACTTTTGACTTTCCAATGTACCAAGGCTATACCAGAGAGCAACAACAAATTTAGTGAGAAAACTTATTTACTTTTTTTTTTACAGAATTTTGAACAATTACAAAAAACGCTCGAAGTTGGGCACTTTAGGGTTAAACTTTTTAAATTTCGCGGGCACTAAAAGAGTTAATGATATATTAGTATATACATGCATGTAGGAAAACTTGCCTCCAATCGTCAGCACTTGTAGCAAACACTTTTCCCGACTTTGTGGTAATGATTGTTCCATCAAGGTCAAATCCTGCAATCTGGGTGTAAAGAATGAAATGAAAGTGATAAATATTTCAAATTAAAAAAGAAAAGTTCAAGGATATTTCAAAACTAATATGTAGCAGTTCATGTTTATTGTTTAGAAAAGCTATTTTAGAAGTAAGGGTGTATTCCCAGTATTTTTGAGCAGTGTTTCTGGAGTTTCTGAGTTAGCATGATGGACAGAAATTTTAAAAAGGAGTTCATGACAAGTACATGTACATAAACCTTCGTGTCCAACATACATTTATGTCTTTGTTTTGCCATATTTGAGGGTGTCTTGCAGCCGTTTTTTAGAGCAGGGGGGACTGATGTGAAATTAAATTGATTTAATTGCCATTTGAAAAGAAAAAGAATACATTTACAACAGAAACCAAAGAACACATGGAACTCATATCAAAGGGAAGAGTGAGGAAGTGTACAGGGTGGTCCTAATTTACAGAAGTGATGTAATTTTATTTGTCTACAATAGCAGATACATCATCATGATTCCTTTAAATTAGGGTTGGGAGGGCTGTTGAGTGTCTGTCAAACAGTTATGACATCAGGAAGGGTGTGGGTGACACACTGACAGTGTGGCACAGATAGCAAGAACCAGACCTTGTTGCTGGCCTGCACTCCCTGGCTTGTGTACACCACCAATTTCCCCTGCTCCTCCCACTTGGAATCGGCTGCAGGCTTCCCTAATTGCTTCCCTGCGTTAGCGGCTCCGTCTGTGCCGCTTGTGGCCAGCGGCAAGCTGTCGGGGTGCGTTGTCTCCGGGCGATCAGCAGACTGCTTTGCCAGATAACGTTTGGCATTCTGCTGTAGAGCTGTCAGTTTGGCCTTGACGGCTGACGACTCAGGGTCCTGTTTATTGTCATCCTCATCACTGCTGTCGCTGATTTCTCCATGGTACTTCTTCAGTGATGTGACCTTTGGAGTTTCCGCTTTGCTGACTTTGCTGACGGACAGAACTCTATCTCCTGACAATCCATCACTGTCATTATCATCACTATCACTGACTGCTCCCTTGTAATCCTTAGAAGTTGCCTTTTTAAAATCTTTATTATTCAAAGGTGTTCTCGCTGCGACTGAGTTCTCAGCTTTGCAAGTATCTCCTCCATCTCTGTCTCTAACTCCTGCGTGAGAGTTTTTCTTTCCTGGTGCGTTTGTCGAAGGCTGCTTGTTGCCGACGTCACTGTCGTCACTGTCACTCACAGCTCCCTTATAGTCTTTCTGTTGCTGGGTCCTTTTCTTAGAAGATGTCTCCTGGATGATGTTCAAGTCTTTGGAGTCCAGCGAATCCTCACTCTCACTGTCACTGACCGTCCCTCTGTAATTTTTCTTTGAGGTCACTTTCGTGGGACCATCAAGCTTTGCTTTCTTCTTGGCCTCTTGATGAGACGGCTCCTCTTCGGAGATCCGCCTTTTTGTTGGCTTCTTTTGGAAGAAGTCTGTAATGTCGCCTTTGGCTCGCTTGGCGGTTGATCCACTGCTGTTTCCCGTGGGGCTGGGCTTGGGCTTGCTTTCCAGGGCTGGAGGGGTCGGGAAGATGACTCGGTATTCATACTTGTTGTTGAGAAGTTGGAACCGGCCGCCATTTGGAATGGTGGTTTCTTGGTCCTTCAGTATTAAAGACGATCCATCAATTAATGATGGACTTGAACTGAGCTGTTGGCAAAAATGAAATCATACAGTAAAACAAAGTTGAGATGCCCGAATATTTTTAGTATGTGGCAAACTGCAAGGGTCTTTAAAGTGGAAACAGACTGAGAAGCTCTTAATACATAAGAAGCTTGTAATACATAAGTGGTACCGCGCTTTCATGTTTTCATTCAATTTCCCTCAATGCATATTGGACTATCAATATGTTAAAAACTAGTTGAAGAACATGTGCCGCATTTACTGAGCATGGTACCACATCAGTAATAGCTTCTTACTACAGTCATGGATTAGTCTATTGGAACAATGAATTTTGACCGTTCAAATATTGGTCTGTCGTTCTCATCTGGTACATGTTTAGGACAAAAAAAAAAGTCTCCGGTTTCTGGTATGGAGCTTGCCCCAAAAGCGGTGCGGCGACGCGGCTTTTTAAAAAAAAATTAACTTTTTTTTCTTCAAATGTCGGCTGATGACTGCAAATGGTTACATGGCTACGGCGACGTGCGCGCTGATCAGAAACCGGAACCTTTTTTTTTTTGGCCTTATGGATGTACTTTTCACAAAGGGTACAATGGCAAAAGGAGACACACATCTATACTGTATACCCACATGGGAACAACGACAGGCGTTCCTAATTGGGCCTGGCTCTATTCCTAATTGGGCCTGGCTCTATTCCAAATGGCCTCTCTTGTATAGAACTTTTGTCTATGTTTTTAATAAAAAATGTTAATGCAAAAATATGAGGAACAAGCAGACACACAACTTCAGACATTGATTCACAAATCAGAGGAGCTGAATAATAAAGGAATTCTAGCCTTTCCATTTCGGAACAAATGCAGCAAATGAAGCAATAACATGAATCGCTGGCATTGATTTTATGATTAGCGAGAATAAAATGCAAACATCGTGATTTCAAATTCTGATTAAAGCTTGCAAAGTGTTGCTTGGCACATTTTGCCCTCGGTATCCCTATCTGTGCTAATGCAGTACACTGAAATTGACAAGCTTCACAAATTGACAGACAGGAATGATAGCTCGTTACTTCCGTACAAATAATGATCGTCTTCCTCACCTGTTTAAGATGCAAAACTCTGCACTCGAAATCCGCCTTTACCTCCACTAAAATAAAACAAAGAATAAAAGACCACAACAAAAATCAACTAACTTTTACATACAAGATCTGCCCAGATAGTTCACTAAAAAATGTGGCCAGAATTAAGAGGTGGGGCAACTTTGTGAAATTTTGTGCCCAAAGAATTTGGGCTGCTTTCAAATTAAACCCATACAGTTGACAGATCATTCAAGAAGACTCTGTCGGTCGTCTAAAAATATAACTCAGTATGTGAGCCACAAAGTTCCCTGAGGTTTTGCATAGCCGAGGCCTGTGAGGAAGTAGTCCGTCAATTTCTAATACCGAGGGGAACACGGATCACCCGACCACCAGAAATAAACCCTGTCATGTTTGTTTTACAAATTAGCCAATTATAAAAGATACCATCAGCAGACGGTCTGTACAGCACTGAATCAGGTCCGTTTTTTTTTTTTAGCCAGCATCGTACTAGTAGTACCACTGTTCATTTCTGTACTACATTTCTTCGCATTTATAAAAGTTGATATTTCTTTTGCATAACATGACGTGTAATTTTATTTGGGCAATTTTATAGGTATGAAGATGGATTGTTGCAAGAATATTGGCTTGAAAAATAAAGAAAAAGTTGCATTAAACAGTCACAGGAATGAACCACGCAAGCCTCAAAAGCTCAAAGTAAAAAAACCTAATCACTTCACTGCTCAAGGCACGTATGTCCTAGATACAAGGTCAAAATCTTTTAAACCTATCGAACAGGGAAATCTTCAGTGTTTAAAGATATTACATCCATAAGTTTTGAGGTAATGTTGCTTGGCAAATTTATGTGCTGAGTAAAAAATATGCTGATAATTTCTGATAATTTCTGATAATTGCTGATTTCCGTTGCCCGCAAATTACCTTGTTGCCGTGACAACTTCTTGTCCAATATTCCCGTGACGGGACATCGCCCTAGAACGACTGCCTCCTGATTGGTCAATACTACAGGTTTCAGACTCGTCCCTGTATCTGTGCAAACCAAACGGCAGATTTTCTTGTCTGCCATTTTGCTCACAGTAAGCCTAAAAAAGGGAAGAAAGCAAAACTTTAGAAGCACCGTTGGAAAGGCCTTCTTTCATTGATTTCTTCAAAATGACAGCTTGCCAGAAAGAATAATTTCACAGGGAGTTTAGTCTCCTTACTATCTTTCAACCCAGTATGTTTTTCAACAATAATTACGCCAGTTACTTTTTGGATAGCTGCAAATGATGGACTGTAGCTTTAAATGAAACAAGAGCAAAACTCATTTGAATTCAGGATGTTTTTGTTGACCCGGGGTGTGTCTTTGCTCTGTTTACACCCAGAAACGTGAAGCTTGAGCCCCCACTTTTCTTGGGGCGCCCCTACTTTCATTCAAAAGAATATGCTTCACTATCATGCTCAGCCAGTGACACAAATGCACGGCATAATATGTCCAGGCACACAAGTTAAATCTGACTCAACCTTATACAACACGTTTTGAGTTTTACACGTACACGTTCTACACGTACATCAACTTGTCTGCCTTTATCAACTGCCAACTTGTCGGGCTCAATTCCTATTAAAAAAATATCCCAATCTTGACAAAATCAAAGCTGACAGCGAAAAATTACAAGTCAATTACGTCTGATTGGATGTGGACAAACTTTCAATTTCCTAAAATTAACCTCTGATGTGACCTTACTGCGCACATTTAATTTCAACTTCCAGCAGTTTTTCGTCCCCCGACTCTCCCCCCTCCCCCCCCCCCCCCAACCCCATGGAAGGTTTAGAAGCCCAAGTCTTTAACGATCAGTCTGCCACAGATTAAGGGACAATTAGCATATCACTGAGAACCAATTACATCAGCGGCTATTTTTTGCCAGTATAATCAATGCCATTGGGGTCTGGTTACCTGTTCCAATGTTTCCCGAATCCCCAATCTCAGAGCGACAGATTTGTTTGAGGATCTTGTCTCTGACTCAAAACGCAACTCCCAACATCAGCCGCGTGTCGGGCTAGAGGATCTGGGCAATGCCCTTCCAAGATATCTTGCTGGCCCCGGTGGCCCCCTGAATTTTGTCAACAAAGATAAATGGTCAAAATGGAATTAATGAAAGCCATCTTCTATTGTTTTTGAGTACCTCTTTGCATAGTGAGACGTCATTACCTAATTCCCTGTCATATCCTTCAATGCAGTCTGTATGATATCACAGCACACTAGTTTAATGATCATAATTAATTGTGGGTTTAAGTGTCTTTGGGGGGGGGGGGGGTATCAATCTTCTTTCTTCAACAAAGAAAATTGACTGAAGCAGGAATTGAAGCCAGTGGGTCATTCCGTATCCAACCACAAATGAAGTGAAGTTGAAGCTGGTCAGTTGCTCCTTGTGGTTCACACATATTCGATTCAATCTTCATTCATTCTGATGTCACGAGGACAAAGATTAGGAGACAGCAACTTTGTAAGAAACAATGTGTATGTATTGGCAGACAGCTCCTGTGTCACATGCCAAGGTGTACATGTACAATTTTACATTTTGAAGGCTTACACATACATTTTGCAGTAAACGTACGTGCTGAAGTCGAGCCAATCACAAGTCCCCAAAAGTGCTCACAAGCCTGTATTAACAAGTCAATGACGAGTCATCCTGCCGTAAGTCACATCAAGCCACTCAAATGAACTGTGACTTTGTTGTTGTTCATCCTCGGTTACTTGAGAGCAGACTTGACAATTAACTTGTGATTTATCTGTGAGTCTGTGAATAGACTTGTGATGAACTTGAGTGATTGCCTTAACACCGATGACAAAATCTATGTAAGCAAGGCCAAGTAACAAAAAAATAATACTTTCTCATCCGGGATTTTTGATAAAAGGGAGGCGGTGGCCTTTTTTTCTCTAGATGGTGGACAAGATCAATTCTTCCATTTTCTTGACTCTTTTGCTTATACTTTTAAGTCCAAAAGAGCCGTCATCCTTTCTACCAGATATTGAACTTGCATGATACTACAACTTTGCTGGAAAAACATGAAAAGACTGCAAATGTCATTAAATTAAAGGGGGGAAAGGGTGGCGGCTGGAAAAACTGGGAAACTGGTTTCTTTTTTAGTTGGCCTAACTAGGGGCAAATTTGGGAGTGAACCTGCCTACAGGAAGCTTGGGGTGCAGATTAAGGACAGGCGGCAGTGTCCAAAGGGGCAAAGTTGTCAGGTTGACAGAAGACTTACCGTAATAATTACCAGCTTTGGGAAATTTACACGTAACTTTGAGGGGCCCATGAGGCTGAAATTACATGTTTACACCAAACATGTTTTTGACTGTTTACCCGTGTGCGCGGTAAAATTTGGACAAGCGCATTCTAAATTTGTGAAGGAATTTATGACATGTTGCATAATTTAGTAGCTCTAAATTGGTCGTGGTGGTTCATTTTGTCCGAGTTGTTTTTGTGTCTAATAATGTCACCGTCTGGGGCCTACACTTAGGCCTAGAATTTAAATTTGTTTTACGAACGAATCCAGCACATGCCAATGTCTGATTTAAAAATCTTACTTTCCACCTGAAGTAAGGATCTTAGAAATGAGCCACAGAGGTGCAACACAATCCCACCATGTGCAACTCATTTGGGGAATGGTAGGATTTGGGGTCAACTCTTTACCAGAGCAGGCCACGCTTTATTTTGACAAACTGCATTGCAGACCACTTTTGACAACATTTTATCAATGCATGGTAGGCTATATTGGATGACTTGTAGGTTAATTTCCTCAGCAATGTATAAACTTTCCCACGACGGGACATATGCCAATCCTTTGATCCCAAGGTATGATTCACTGATGCACTTGCAGTATGTACATGTAGATGATCATAAGGTGTAAAAATTAGCAAGCCAGAGAAATTTCTCTTGCCGTCTCCTAGCAATTATGGCCCTGGATTGGAATGAATTAAATTAGGACGGAGTGGACCAAAAGACCGTTTGCAATTTAGTGGACTAGTGTAGTTCAGGACCCAGGTCCTGTACATCCTTCAGGGCTGCTCCAGTTTTAGCTGAAGGTGGGGGAGGGTTTAGCTTTCAAGGCGGGGTTGTTAGCAAGCATGTGCTACTTTTTCCGGCATGATTTTCCTGTTTTCTTCAGCCTTGGGGGGGGGGGGGGGGGGGGAGGGGGACGTTGCTGTAACAATTTGGTACCTGCGAAACCATATTTAAACTTTAACTTTAAGTAAGCCATGAATCAAAAAGGAAAAAAAAGGAAATCTAGGATAACGTTAGGCCCTACTTCAAAAAAGTAACATCCAATTTTTACTTTGGTCAGTTGACCGACCAACCGACCAAAGTAAAAATTTGTGGAAAAAAAGGAGTTCTAAAGTTTTAGTGCCCCCGTTTATACTGGGTCTACTTCAGGAATTGATTTAGCTGACACCTTTTTGCAATTCCAACGGGCGTGCACACATCATGATTGAACATTTAGTTCCAGAGATAAACAGTTTGCCAAACGCATCCAAAATCATCAATCAAAGAAAACTTGTTTTGAACTTGAAGTAAATGCAATATTTTGAATTTTTTTTAAGGCACCATGGTCCCTCCAGTGGGTACCCGACTAACCGTCTTACATGGCAGGATGACCATAATAAGTTAAAATTCTGCTCAATCCACTTCGAAAGTCTGCCAAATCACCCAGTATATCGTCAGACCCCCTAAAATGACAAGGATATGTTTTGATGCACTTGCATTCAATTTGCGTTGGACAATGCACGCGCGTTGCAAGCGTTACCTGCGTCAATTATGGTGACTCAAGGGTATTGCTGTTCCATTGTGCAAGGGTTTGTTTCAGGGATCAACATCCTTTGCGCGCGTTGTCACACACAAATTGAATGCGAGTGCGTAGAAATAGGACCGCGTAGCTTTAGGGGGTCTGACCGTAAAGCCTTTTTTACTAAATACTAGGGATATTTATAGTCAAAATTGTGGCAGCCTATGCTATGCCCACACTCTTATCTTGACCAGTATTCTGCCAACGTGCAAATGCTTTAATAAAAGTAAACTTCATCAATAAAGTTATAAAGTTGTACCTACTTCAACTTTGAAGTCCTTGCAGTCTTCTCAAATTGGCTGAAAGTCGGCGCGGTGCGAGTCGCTATAGAGCGCCCTCTATTTTCATAGAAAAACAAATCTATGTAATTACTGTTCATGGTCACACATTATGTAGGCGACCTACATGTATATCGCAACCTAACAATTATTCAGTAAAACTTCCAGAAGTTGACACCTAGACCTGTTCATTACAGGAAAAAAAATCCTGCCCCCCCCCCCCCATACACACACACAGAGACATGTTTACGTTAGGTAGTGTGGACCTTTATTTTCGTGTAGTTAATAAAAATTAACCTGTTGAAAAAATACTCATTTTACTCACACTGTGAATTTTTTTAACCCATTTCCCCCCCTATGATTCAGGTTAGGGCGTGGGGGCGACAGCCCCCCCCCCCATGAAACCTTGTCGCCCCCAGTCGCCCCCCCCCCCCCCCCCCACTGAGATTTTGAGTTTCTAAAAAAATTATCATTGATCTACATGACGCCCCCCCCGGCCTTGAAATGTTCCAGCCCCCCCAGCGGCCCCCCCCCCCCCCCCGGCTACGCCACTAATGTGAAGGGGGGATTTACCTTTACCGGTACGTCAGGTGCCAAAACGTTAGTAATAATGTTGAATATAAGGTAAGTTTGATTTGTAGTAATTTTGTTCATGATACCATCTCGTGAGAAATTCATTGCAATAAGCAAAACAAGATATAATGCGCAGTTGGCATCATGTAATCTTTATCTTCAGATTTTTAGCATTTTTCGCTTAGCGACCGACTGACGTATAGTCTGAGTATATCAGACGTTCTCGTGGGCACAGCCACAGTTGAACGTCTGAGATATCGTAGCAGTAAATTTTATGCGACCCCGCGCGCCAGCCAATCGGAGTGGTCTTTAGAGACTATGACGTCATTTCGATCAGAAATGTCGACTAAGCTGTAGATTGGTCAATTTTGATGCCATTTTTTGGGTAATATTTTGTAATACATTGCAACAACAGGTTACGGAAGACCCGATAGAAGGCACCCGCTGAATTGTCAGAAACTCGAGGTCAAGACGTATTTTTGTCTTGTTTAATCGCCGAATTTGCTCGCATATCATAGACTCTAGCTGTGCAATGGGGGATAATCCATAGACTAACGACATTAGTTTCAGTGGCAAAAAATACGAGGACCAAAGAAATAGAAAGGAACGCCCTAATGCATGTATCAATGTACATATTAAATTCAGGGCGGTACATCCATAGTCCTGTGTACACCCCCCCCCCCCCCTTGGTTTTTTTGTTTGTTGGGGAATAAACTGTATAAGTGTATCAATTATTATACAGTAATAAATGTTCATCATTAATGTAAAAAAAACCAACTGTATAATGTTGTCAACCTTGACAAGTTCATGTAAAAAGTTCACATGTAGGTTCAATAAACTCCATTTGATCCCAGTTCCGCATTAAGACAAGACAGATAGGTTCAATCACACAGCCGACGCCCCAACCAACATGCCGTACCCCAACCTCGGGATCCCGCGAAGGGGGAGGGCAGCATTATTTTAAGGGTATTGCAAAACCCCCAGGCTTGCCCAAACCCGGGAATAACTCTCGGAGCCCCACCGATGTCCGCCAAAAAATGCCAAGCGCTTTTCACGGAGCCCGGAAATTTATTGATCGGATCACCGAATCACCCCTGACGAAAAATGCACGAAATATTCCGTCTGCTGTTCTGACATGACGGAGGCCGAAACGGCAATGGTGACGCACACACTGCCTCTTTTCTGCTAATGGAACCGTCCGAGATCACTTTGATTTCTGGATTGTGTCACCGAAGTGGCAGCCTGTCCAGTTTGATCAGTCACTGTCAACCAGTTCAGCGACCTCTCGTACTCGGTTTGATTCGGTTTGCACGGAGCTAGAGCGAGTTGGAGAGATGAATTTGCGTTATTCTCGTAAATCCCGAGACAGGCAGGCAGAGTGATTGCCAAGTCAGGCGATGGGCAAAAGACACGACGCCTTGTGAAAAATTCCAGGTCAAAATCAACGGATATATGAATACCGGCCCCAGGGCACATTTAAAAAAACCCGGACATTTTTGAAGATTGCCTGTGTTTTCCAGTTGCTCTCCCGTCTATATCACAAATTCGTGTTTTTTCTTCAAAATAATTTTCCATTTTGTTACTAATCTTTGACCCTTTTTTTGGCGTTTGCAACTCTCTGAAAAATAGGCTTTAATTTTTGTTAGCTTTTGCGCACTTTTCTTAAGAACACGTCGGCGGAAAGTTGAATAGTCTTTGCATTGCTAGAAAAAATATTATAGCAATTTCCTTTTTTTTTAACGTTAGCACGAGCGGGACAAATTAACGCTGGGAAGATAATTGGGGCTGAAACTGAGTTCACAATTGGATCTCGCGTTTTCTTGAAATAATTAGGGCGCGTTCTCAAATGTTCACTTATTATCATGATGTGTTTCCATTATTCTGTTTTTCAATCATAAGCTGATAACTTGGGAAGAATAGTTTTCGTTTTAGCCTCTGAAAGACAGGTCTTACCAAATTTCCTGTTTAACATTTTCTTGGGTGTGATATCTACATTGTATATTTTGAACGCTCTGTACATGGTCGCCAGTCATCCGATGACGTTTCAGAGCGCCCTCTACGACCAGAAAAGAAGTTGAGATTGGAAATAATCAATTTTACGTTTTCCGACAAGCCAAGCCATGCCACTAGATTGCCTGCCAAATGTGAAATATTATGTCAAAAGAATACAAAAATGTCCAATACTTCATTCGAATTAACTACCAAACCAAAAGAAAGTGTATGCAGGACTAACCTTTTTAAAGTGCCGTTCTATAAGGCGAGGGGCGCCTAACAAGTTCAAAAACTTAATTTTGAGGACCTAATTCTGTTTTGGAGCTTCTTCGGGTGGAACCCCCCCCCCCCCCCCCAGAATTTGGGGACTTTTTTGGAAGCAACGATAGTTCCTTTTGAACATCTTTCCCTTTTTATATTTATTTATTTTTGAAGGGGGAAAGGTCAGGGCTTTTGAGAACTTGGAGAGTTTGGGCTACAACCAAAAACGAACTGTCGCTTGACTTTGTAAATCATATTGCATTATTGAATGAGGGCTCACATCAAGAAGGCTAAAATATACCGAAAGTGGATGAATCGGTTTCCCATTATGGCTTACTTGTTACTTCAGATGGAAAACAGCAGCCCACAATCAAAATTCTTGAAAAAATCTATTAAAATACCTGTACGAAAACCAGGAAATTTGCATATTTCATTCTTAAAATAAAAACGTGTTCCAAAGTTTTGATCTCAGTCATATATTGGTAACCTTTTGATGTTTCTTAAAAAAAACCAAAAAAACCAAAAACCGCCAAAACTTGTCCTAGCCCCACTAGTGTGGCCGCGACTTGTCCCACCTCTTTAAAAAAAAAAAAAAAAAGGTATGTGTTCTTTGACTATGGACAGTTTGTAAGGAAATATCCCAAACCTTTTGTAAAGAAATTTAAGCTCCGGCCTTACAGGTTATTTAATTTATTCTCAAACTTAAGCCCAAAATAACCGATACAACAACTGAGTAACTGAAACTCATGAACAGATGCATGTTCTGAAATTGTCTGAACCTTAACCCGATGTCAAGTTCCATGCATATAAATAACTACACAAACGCTATCTTCATATCCATGTCAAATAGCACAGTAGAAGCTAAATTTAATCAGACATCTTTATACTGATGGTTTATCACACCGACTTTACACCATACAAGGTACACAGGCCAAAAGAGAAAGCATTTGTCTATTTATATTAAATATTTATATAAAAAGCATGTTAACCAACAGCTGCTTTGCAAAATCCTTAATACCTTCTGTTTTTTTAAGAACCAATAACAATATATCCACATTGTATTTACACATCAGAGAACTGTTGCAACAACGACGACGACAAGAAGAAGCAAAACAAAATATTGTCATTCAATAGTAATTTTCTTTCAATGTTTACACAAGAAAGCTGTATAATCCATATACAGCAGTATATTTACCATAATTATTGCCCATTCATATTATATTCTCAGAAACCAATATTAGAAATCACAATCTCATAATTGTTACAAATTCATGTACATATTTACTTAACTACACAACAATTTGCAGTCATAGTATGAGCACACTGATAAGTGAGGCGATTAGTCTGCCCCTAGCCCTCATTAATATTCAATGAAGAAAAATCCTTTGGGGCGCATGCTTTGGTTTTACAAGTGGACCTCTTATGCATTCATTACTATAACAAATAAACATCTAAAAGATGGTTGCAATGGGTCCATAGAATTCAAATAATGCTGCACAAGGCCTAGGGGGAGTGAACAAATATCGGATCAAAATGAAAATCTGAGTTACTCTCATATATGGGTCATTACATAAATTTGGGGTCAAAAAAATGTGACTTTTTTTAGTGTCCTTGTTACACCTGACCTGTGTAATTTGCCATTCAAGTATCATTAAAATTGACTTCAAACTATTTTTATTTGTTGGCAGGTACTTCGTTTTACATAATCACTTGGGGAGATAGAAGGCATTAAAACATGTGTCATGAATTACAAAATCTTATACATTTCAGATCTAACAGGGACACACAAAATCGGATCCCAAATTCATGGAATGACCCATAATATGTTTTTATTATAGGTGTATTAAAAAGACAAAAAAAGTATTTATTCCATAGATCCAGCATGGCTACACCTTGCATGAGGAAAGTCAAAATAATTCATAATTAAGACCCATTGGTGATGTTTAGTTAAAAATGGGTCCTGATTCTCATATGTAGAGCAGCAGTGCCTTAGTCCAGTCCTTTTCAAAGTCCCAAGGTCTACTGAAATGTAAAGTGTTCAGTGGTATCGAACCTAATGCAAATTGTATCAGGAAAACTACTTTACCACATTATATTACAGTGTTCTTGTTGGACTCAGAAAGGAACTGACGACAACAGTGGCTGCTACAGGCTTGATACCAAAGTGTCCAACAGATCTGGACACAAAATGGCATCTAAAAATACATTAATTTTCCCTGAGCAGTAAAGCCTCCC